GCATATTTACGACAGTGCACTTTTACTTTCGCCCTCTGGGGGGAGCCTCGCTGGAAAATCAACACCGGTTGCATAGTGTACCTTTAAACTGGTTCTGAATTCATTAATTCTCCCCTGCTAAAGTTTCTTTTCTTCTTCTCTTTTTAGCAAAGTTCTTCCTATAAATGGTGTGGGAGGTATTTTTCACAGCTCGGAATCCTCCAGAGACTGAAACTAAAAACCTTTGCAGAAATAAATCCGACTATCTTCATCAAAACCTTCCTCCATCTGTTTCCTATGATCAGTTTCAGGATTACTGTTAGAAACGGATCAGAACCGTTATAGCTCTGTGGTCTCATGGTTAAAAGCAGTGGTGTCAAAATTACACACATTTGTTACTTAAGTAGAAGTATAGATTCTGCAGTTTAAAAACATTCTGGTAAAAGTTGAAGTTTTAACTTGACCTCTTTACTCAAGTTAATGTGAAAAAGTATGTGCTCCTACTTAAAGTATAAAAGTATAAAATAATCTTTAAAAAAAAACACAGCCAGATGCCACTATATGAATTGAAAGCTCAATTTTTCAACTATTTAGAAAAATTCTTTGAGATAGGGCCAAGGATGAGGGAGGTCTTGTTGGTCTCCGTCTCCCGATACGCTCTCGCCTGTGCCCGACCTTTCAGACATTTCAACATCTTTATCTGAATCCATCATTGTAGCATGGCATAGACAATTCACGTTTGCAGTTTGAAGAACACCTGTTTGCTTCTGATGATTTCCTTTAGCTAACCAATGAGCGTTTGTGTTATACGACTCATCCAATGACACTAGTTTTCACTAGATGTGGATAACGCACATGACGTGAAATAAATATTTATAAACATTAAACCAGCGGTAACCAATTAAAAATCAGTGGGGTCTCATAAAAAAAAAATCATCAACCAGTAAAGGTCTGGAGACATTTTTAATGATCTGTTACTTTAAACAGAATTTAACACTGAAATAAAATTAGGTGTTTATGCATTCATATTATACATTGAATTAAAAAAAATAAAATAAAACAGAAATTGCCAAAAATTGTTAGGAATCCAGTCTGTGTGGGTTGTGTTTTTGTGTTTCCCCCTCCACCACCAGGTGGCGCCCTGTTCTCGTTGGTCCACCCACACATCTGCGGCTGGTTGGCTCATTA